CTCGGCTTCTCTTGCTTTCGTACTTCCGCCTTTCAATCGTCCAGACGGTACAGCGACATTATTCTACGTGTGATTCCACTAGTTAATTTATTCCACGATTGTCGCGAAAAATTAAAATTAACTGTCTCGAAAAATATACTTTCTCAAAATTTCCACACTCTCGTCTCATTTTTCATAGTAACGAGTTTAGAATTCATATTCATACTCTCGCAAATTTTCGAGATTCCAATCTCGAGCAGCATGTGCTCTTCCGTGCAAATTCCGAACTTCGTTACACACCGTAATTTCCTTATCTCATCGCTTACACTTTCAACAATGGTAACGAATAGTAAACACCGGTTAGTCTGGTCTGATGAAATTTCACAGCTTCGGAGGAATTACATTTCCCGATAAATGGAGACAGGGAGGGACGAATTTGGGCCCTGAACGAGGGATCAGAAATTACTCGATCGCTATTTTGCCCTCCTTTTCCGGTTATCGGTCATTCTCGACGCCTCCGTCCGCTTCGATTAACGTCCCTCACAGATTCTACGAAATTGAGTTTTCGTTCAGTCACGATTGTTTGTCGCCCCAGGCGTTGATAGATGTTAATTAAAAAGTGATAGACTTAATTCGTACGAAATTGAAAATGAGTGAAATTTGAAATTAAAGGTGTCACGATTTATTCAATTAAAAAGGATCGTAGATCCTTTTATTAAATAATATTAAAGAATTATTTATTTATTAAAAATATTAAAGAATTAAGCACAGTTATTTTCCACACATAAAAGAATCAAATGGTTTTAGTCGTTATTCATACCAAGCGATTAAAAAGCAATTAAATGCCAGTCATTAGAGAAATAACACGTTACAGGAAACGGGAGAGGTTTGTAATAAACTCGACGATACTTCACTGTCGTACACGTTTATTGAAAATGATATTACCATCAATACATAGGTTTACACGTAATTACTAACTAGACGGATTTCGATGATGGCCGTAGACGAGCGTGAAATCTTAATATATAGAAACATCGTATACAAAATACAATAAATAACAGTCGTTTGATTTGCGAAGTCGAGGTTCGTTTACGGCAACTGGTACATTACGAATGGTAAATTGTCGGGGTTGTGCACGCAAATTTGATAGGTCGAAGAGGAAGATGGGGAACCGAGGGCATAATTAGCAACGTAATTACTACCGTAAGTTTGTGGCAGAATTGTGTACTGAGAAGCCGGTAAGCAAGTCGTCGCTTGACCATTTGGAAGTTGATAAACCTGTACCTCTTGCTGCCCACTGTTTGTAGCGAAATTATTCAACATTCCATCGTTCTTCTGATGAATCGTGTAAGCGGGATGAACGGAAGGGTGACTTCCATCGGGTGCGTGTCTGAAATTTCCTACTACTGCATGGTGATGGTAATTCTTCACCACTTTCGTATTGTGCGGATATCCCACTTTCACCACCCCCAATTTCTTGTGGGTATTCACGCTGACGAATTTCGTACCTCGCTGTAGATTAAAAACAATTTCAATTTAATTACCGGCGATGGTGCTTCAATGAAAATTAGTCGAGGTTATTTGAAAAATTTCGAAACTTCTGCTTCGATTCGAATTGACAGCAGACCTTTGGTAGCAGCTTATTGAAATTCTTCGAACTGTTCAATCCATCGATTCGCGACGAGTCATTTGGAAGCAAAGTACTTACCGTGGCTGCGCGAGATTCACTATGGTTGTCCGACGTGTCAGCTTCCGGCGATTGAAGAGTAGCGGAACTTGGTCGGGGATCGGGAAAGTTTCTTAGCTCGGAGCTTCTTGAAACTTCCGACTGCTGTTGTTGCTCGGGTCCAGGATGTTGGAGCAACATGGCGTGTTGAAGATTTTCGAGTTTCGTTTGAGGAGATTCGAGCGGCGCTGAAGACACTTCCCGATACTCCGATGCTGGTTCTGTGGACACGGTTCCCTCGGGTATCATCTCTATATTTCGAAATTCCTGGTTCGAATTAAGGGCTGGATCCACGAACTGGTATTGTTGGTACGTTGGATACATATTCGCAGGATTCAAACCGAACAGGGTGTTGCTGGTGATCGGTTGTTGATTGTTGTCGCTTTGACGAACCTTTACGTTCTTTTCTGTGGATGAAATTATTATTCGTGATTATTGAAATTCTAGTTACGTTTGAAGAGCCATTATTTTCCCTTACCATCGAGGCCTTCCCCGGCTTCTCCACCTAGACTTCGCAAATCAATGACTGGCGAAACGTTCTCGTCTAAGGACGACTTCGTGGCCACAGCATCGAGTTTATCGCGTTTCTCGCTCTGCTCACCATCATTGGATTCGCTGGATCTCCTGTACCGGCTATGTACTGGCTGAGAAAATTCATCGATTAATTGATTTTGTTCTTTTCATTCGAAATTTTATAGAAAATGTAATCGATGCGTTATGCGATATTCACCAAAGGAACATATTCGGATGAGTGCATTCCTGGAAGACCAACATCGCCAGAGTTTGGATGGCTATAATGTGTCCCGTATAATTGTGGCATCACCTGATAGTGTTGTAGTACAGGATACAATGCATTAGCAGGGATCTGATACGAGTCCGTGTAAACTGGGTGAAATTCTAAATGGTAATCTGCGGATTTCGGTTGTTGAAGGTGATCTTTATTCAAATGTTGCATAGTTTCATGGGGTTGAGTTATTATCGAATGATGTTGCGGCGATTGGTATCCTGGCTGTACCATGATATCAGCCATCCCAATTCTCGTTAACACAGCAGCCACTGATAACTGAAACGAAATCGAATGAAATTTTTATTTAATTAAATCAACGCTAGTTAATCAGTGTTTTAATCCTTTAACTATGGCACGTTTTTACCTTTCATTTTGAAAAAGAAAAATTCTTTCACTGATGCTCTAACAATAAGCAATGAGAAAGTGATAATTACGATATAACGATTATTTCATTCTCAAATTCACGCTTGTTTATTGTAACTTTCTCATCGCGTTCTGAAGATATAATTAATGATTTTTTATTCTTTAGAACATGCACTTGTAATTTAGAGGATGAGTGTTTATTTTTCTTTTAAATGAACGATTTTCTACCAGAAATCCAAATTAATTGAAAAACTCACCACAAATATCCATTTCGCCATCGTTATATCGTTGTCAATCGTTCAGAGGTTCGATCGGAACTGCGATTCGCCTGTGAAAGGGCGCGTACATTAATCAACTCGAAATCGCTGATGCCACAAATTTCGTGCTTCACGCACCATTTTTTGTCAGGTCAACTTGTCGTGGTTTCGAAGAATGTGGCAAATTCCCCGAACGATTTTGTTTTTTTGGGTCAATTTGTCTTTCGAAATTGAATTTCGCAAGTCTACGTGAATAAAACTTTACCCGGCTTTGTATTTTTCTCTACCTATTGTATTGCGTTATACTGCCAGGGCTGTGAAAAGACAGGCTGCTTTTCTTATAGGAAATTTCTTTGTATTCAACAGAAATAACTTTTCATCTCATCGTACTTTATCTTGTCTTTATGGAACGTGCGGATTCATAATTCACACCCTCCCGAATCAAGAATCGCTTTCGAGCAAACTTTCCCCGCCATATGGGGGCGAAGTCGATAACGATTTGCCTTTTTATTCATAATCTTTTCCAGCATCGACGGCCTCTCGATTCTTGGCACGTTGAATATCAGACGATTTTTAGAGGAATATAAAGTAGCTGATTTGAGAGGGACGGTGGAAATATAGAGCTTACGATTTTATTTCAACCCTTGGTCATTTACAATAACGACTCTTTCGAAGTAAGCGAGAAATTTACGTTCAATCTTTTTTAATGTCGACTTAACTGTTTGAATCGTATTAAATGCAAAATTTGCTGTAACCCAATGGCGAGGTGATAACTATGCAAAACGAAGCGTTTATGGGTTCATGAATTTTTGAAACGTAGAGAAATTTACATTTGATATAATTGAAACAATTAAGTGAATGCTGCGAATCTTTGGACACAAATTTATCTCTTATTTCATAGTGGCGCACCTAACTAGTTCGCACAATTGTTACTTTTTGGGTATCTGGAGTATTTCAATGTTACACGGAAACGAACTTGTTAGAGTCGGTTTAAATATTCACGTGCGAGAAGAGTAGTTTAGTAGGAGAATAGTAGATCAACGTCCGAATCATCTATCCATTCAGTATACCGGACAATCAGGGCATGTCAGCAGGGCCGCTGGCCTCGAAGTGCAACGAACTTGTAAAAACAAGGATTTCGCACATTCCTTAACGCGCATACCATTAGTCGGTTTTGCAATACTGCATATTATTTGATTGATTCATAATTCTGGCGAATCGAATCATGATATTAGGTTGTGTAATAAATTCCCGCGTTTTTTGTATTTTATTTTTTTCCCGCAATTTTGTGTTTTGTTAGGTAAAGTATATATATACATTCTCAAGTCTTTTTCTTACTCTGCTTCAATTTTTCGAAATAATTAATTGTAATCAATTTTCAAGCTTCTGAAATGGAAGTTCAAGGAGGCAAAAAAATTTATTTTCGACATCTGCTCAATTTCGCCTTTCGCCGTGGTCAAAAAGCTACGGAAGCAGTTCGCGACATTGTGACAAATGTCGCTTTTTAACCACGATGAAAGGCGAAATAGAGCAGATGTCGAAAATGAATTTTGTTGCCTTCTGGAACTTCCATTTCAGAAGCCTGAAAATTGATTAAAATCAATTAATTCGAAAAATTGAAGCAGAGCAAGAAAAAGACTTGTGAGTGCATACATATACTTTACCTAACAAAACCCAAAATTGCGGGAAAGAGATAAAATACAAAAAACGCGGGAATTTATTACACAACCTAATACATTCGATGGAATTAGAGTTAGGCACTTCTGGAGCATAAATTATCATTTTGGCAATCGATTGAAATGTCTACGGTTACATTAGAAAATCCTCGAACTATTTTGATATCGAAAGGTGGAGGTTGTAATTTTTTGTTTCTCCGGATGTTGTCCAGGTTGCGTATTCGGTACGTGATGCCGGCGGCGCACCTGACGCTGCGCGAGGAGGACGTGGTACGACTAACCTTGGAGTTCCTCCACAGCCGTGACCTACACATCTCGCAGCTTTCGTTGGAACGAGAGACAGGCGTGATAAACGGTCAGTACAGCGACGACGTGCTCTTCCTTCGTCAGCTGATCCTCGACGGACAATGGGACGACGTGTTGGAGTTCATTCAGCCGTTGGAGGCGTTGCCGGACTTCGACATGAGAAAGTTCACCTATTCGATTCTCAGGCACAAGTACGTCGAACTGTTGTGCATCAAATCCGAGGCAAACCTGAACGCGACAGGGACGAACGGAAGTGTGGACAACGCGGTGGAGGAAGTGGTGAAGGTGTTGAGCGATCTTGAAAAGGTTGCACCCTCCAAAGAGGAGTACAGCAGTTTGTGTCTTCTTTTGACGCTTCCACGGCTCACGGATCACCTGCAGTACAAGGACTGGAATCCTAGCAACGCGAGAGTCCAGTGTTTCCGGGAAGTGCATCTCCTGGTGGAAAAGTTTCTGCCAGGCGACAGAAAGAGCACCGATCCGGCTCATCCTGTCAGCTCGGCGAAGAACGATCGGCTGATACAACTGATAATTAAGGGGATTTTGTACGAGTCTTGCGTTAATTACTGCCAGGCCAAAGCTACTGGTTCCAAGGAGAGCGAACAGGTAACTGTTCACCCTCGTTCCGTCTTTCATCCAATTAAAGAAGACCTTAATAAACGAAAAACAATCTAACATCCGTGTTACTGTTACAGGTGGAGATGAATTTCTCCCGATTGTTGGACGGTTCCGTTGGCTTCAGTGATTCCGATTTAAGCCTGCTCTCTTGGCTGCAAAGTATACCACCGGAAACGTTCGCCGTGCCTTTCGCGCAACGTACGTTGAACGTGGACGTGGAAAGGCTGGAGAGACCATCGTTGGAGACTTCATGGACGGAGCATATGTTGATCACACCGATAAAACCGAAAACCTTCCCGCATTGCGCGATGCCGTTTACCAGGCCGCGATCAGCCGCCGACATGATGTCTCGCAGTTTAGTGCCGGCTTTAGAAGCTGGACTCGGACCAAGGAGTCCCGGTCCTAAAAATACGCCGATACCATCTGCGGCGCTAATGGCCCTGTCCACCGGTGATATAAACCCGATGTCAAGATCGTCTTTCGCGAGCTTTCATCTGACCGGTTTTAAGAACAACAAGCTAATGAACACCAGCGTGGATAGGCTCTTTGAGAACGAGGGTGACGTCTTCCTTAGTTCTAGTTACGCTGAATATCAACAGCTGCCTTCCATACAAGAGACGACGACCAACAGTCAACCGAAAGCTCCGCCGAGAACGAGAGGACAGTCGAAGAGTCCGGAGGGTGAGTCTTCCCGTTTCTATCTTACCTAGAAATAATATTACAAGCGTTAAATCTGACGTTGAAATTAACGAGCGCGTCTTCTGTCGAAGGTATCAAAGCGGATCCTTCCGCAGCGTCGACACCGGAGCGCAGAATCGCTGGCAGAGAATCTCCCGCGCCGTCAACAGCTAGGAGTTCCAGAAGAGATTCTTTAGCCGAGAAACCAACCGGGGTCGCGGCGAAGATCACAGAACCCTCGGTGATCCCTGGACGGCCTTCCATAGGCGGTGATCATCTGGAACAGAGCTACAATGGAGACCTGTTCAAAGAGTATCAAAAGCAAAAGCAGAGGCTGCAGGAGAAGTTCCAGCAGAGGGAAAGGGAGTGGGACGACTTAGTCAGACAACTGTCCGCGCCGCTGTCGCCGCAGGTGGTGGATAATAGACTTCAGAACGATGGGTAAGTGAATCTGTTATTATTTCTGACACGTTAATTTGAAACTGTTCCTAGGGATTTCTGTTCGTGGTAATGTACACTTGGGTGCAACGTAGGCTTCTTCCTAGGATCTTCCTAGGCTCTCCCTTGGCACTTGGGTGCAACGTAAGCTTATCCCTAGGATCTTTCTAGGCTCTCCCTTGGTTCTTCTAAAACCAAAATCAATTGATTGAGAAGTTCCCTCTTCTGTATTTATCCTTAACCCAAAGAGCCTACATTGCACCCGATTGTACCTTTAAACAACCCACAAGGGGTAATTGCAATCGTTATTTTCGTTTATCCTTTATGAAGGGTTGCATTTATAAACCTGTTTGAGGAACAAAAGAGTATCGTTAGGGTATATTATTCAAAGCTTGAGAATGTCGATGAGTATCAGCATTGTGCGATCACGGAGAGAAGCTGGTACCGATGCCTCCCATTAACATTGGCTTGTTTTCCAGTTAATTACCGGCTCGATATAATCCAGCCAAACGCTATTGTTTTCCCTGTAGCGTATCGCGTTCGTGCAGTAGTGCGATGCAGTCAATCAAACCGAATGGTTGGCTATATTCTCTAACAGATGGCAGCAAGGGAATGCCTTTCTCGCGCTTATTATGGTACTAAACCGCGAGCCGAGAATAACTTGTTCGGTCTAGACGGCAAGTTGGCGCCGATCGAAATAGCGATTCACCGCAGGCCGTGTTGAAAAAAGAATTAGTAGCATTATTTTAGTAGCTTGACAATGACCTCCGACTTCCGGCCTTTAGTTTGACGTTCCATTGGAACTATACAGAGTGTCTCGCTTTATATTTGAATAGTTCCTTTAAAAAATTAAAATTATAATTGATTATATTTTTATTTAATATTGATCCTTTTGCATTTGAAATTTCCAAAAACTTAAAAATACTGGCGGGAAAATATTATTTTACTTTTGACTGAAAGTGATTTGCTTCCTTTTTTTGCTCGATTTTTTTGCATGTCTCGTTTTATATTTTAATAGTTTTTAAAAAAAATCAAAATTGGAATTGATTATATTTTTATTTGATATTGATTCTTTTGCATTTCAAATTTACAAAACTTGAAAATACACCTTCTTTTGGACGGGAAAATATTATTTTACTTCTGACTGGAAGTGGTTTACTTCTTTTTCTTTTTTTTTTCCTCGATTCTTTTAAAAGTTAGCTACCGTAACGAGGTTCTGTTTTCCCACGACTACGTACACCAACAGCTTCGCCAGGGACAAATCAGTAGTGGCAGGAAGTCATCCCTCGTGAGCGTCGCGCGAATTCCTTTTCGCGAACGAATAAACGGTCCCGGCTGTATCCTCGTAAATGTCGCGTAACGAGCTAAAATTACCGCCGCTTCAGAGATGTCAAGTGCAATGTATCTTTTCTGCCAAGGCATATCGGTCACATCCGGCGATAATCAATGAAACACCGTTTGATTTCAAAGTAGCAAATTTTGTCGCGAATCTGTTCCACTCTGTCTTAAATTTCGAAACAAGATTATTATTTTGGAAAATGCGAGTCCAACGTGTTAAAATAGAAATATAAAATCTAAAAATTCCTAAATAATAGGGAGCTGGCTTACCGACACACACAATTTACCTGCTTCCTTTATCGCCTATCAGGTGTATTACCTTATCTTTTATCGAACATTTTGCAACCTTCTCTGCGATTAGGTTTCATAACCCAAATAACTTTCAATGACGTCGAGTGGAAAGAGGTGGTTCACGGGTATCGTTAACGTTGAAGAAATGAAAGTGGAATTCAAGCACGGTTCATTGGCATCGACCGTTGACATTGTTCCACGGCCGGATACCGGATGTATGAGAATAGTAAGTACGTGCACGTTGTTACAGGGAAATCGTGACCATACACCATCGTCATTGGTTCTGTCCCATCGACGGTTCTCGCTTCACGATTTCGTTATACATATTTATGCTCTCATTGTCTCATTCATGCTCATCGGTGCTGGGTCCCTCGTAAAACGCGAATGAACGTGCGGATTTCTGATGCGCGATTTAACGACCAGTCGTATGAATTTTCACGTCTGTCAGATCGGATATTATCATTCGAATAAAGACACAAAAGGTCCTTCGAGTAATTATTCGGCATCTCGTAAACACGTTTCACAATTGTCTTCGAATATTAACCTGAGGAAAAAGAAATCCACCTTGGGCTGCATCGGTATCTTTTTTCCTTTATTGGATTTTATGAATGGTACATCGCGAAGTTTACATAGTTATTACACTGGCGTTTAATGAAACTTAACGACGTCGCGTTTAGCTGGAAATTCGTTTGAGCCTAATTAAATGCAGACGCAGATGGAGCAAAATACCAGACACTGCTGCTGTCTGAATGGTATTCGCAGTTCAAAAGGCTAATTATCCTCAACCGTTGGCAGACAAGGTTTAACTTATTCCAGAAGTGACAATGCAGTGGTTGCGGCAGTACAGGCCCGAGTATACGTGCATGAATATAAATCGAATTATAGAGGACATAATTAGTCGGGCTGTGAAACAGGGAATTTATAGTTAACCCTTTGCGGATGAGACATTCCTGCGCTGAACATATTTATACAAGGAATATTACTCTCACTTTATTTTTCAAATTCTTTCGTTTCTTTTATGTTTATTGCTGTAGTCGATCGTGAAATTCAACTACGTAGATATGATTCAGGGTTCTTATCACTACGATATCGTTCAGTCATTCGATCGAAAGGGTGAGATTGTACTTCCAGGAGGTCTTACCTCGTCTCTTCAAGAGACATTCAAGTGATACGACCATTAAAAGAATCGATCGACGTATTCTCGATAGCTGTTACAAGAACAACGAATCATCTTGCAGCTTTGTACATTTTACGTTTCTTCCAAGGATGATAATGCAAAAACTCCGTTGATTTTCTTGTTGATTGAATGTATAAAAATGACAAAAAGTTCAACCGTAGTTAACAAGATTATTTTCTTTCAATAGTAACCATTTGTTGAGGTTCTAACGAGACTGGTTAGCAATCACTCTGACGCGTTCATGGTGTAAGTTGAGGAATTAGTGGTGACCAAAGGAGTTTCGAGTGTCTGGGCACTTCGTTAACTGCAAAATATGAGCGCATTTAACAGCGAGATTTACGTTTCGTGGCCAGTGAAATAAGGGTGGTACGAAAGTCCTTGATCCTTCAGCAGGTTCAACAAACGAGGTCGTTCTCAATGATTCACTGCGTTCAATTTCTCGCCGACGAATCCCTTTAAATGGCAACGTGCTACTGCAACTTTAGAGCTAGAGAAAAAGCAGCGATCGAGGATGATATGTAAATACAGTGACGTTCATGGATACTACTATTTGTTGACCCTCGGACGACGGACCATGAAGAGAGCTCCAATCTTAATTTAATTTTAGACTATTATTTTAAAAATGATTCTTTTAATATATGAAATTCTTTTATTTAAAAATGATACATTCAATTCTAGATACAGGTTTCGCTGTTTAAGGGTTAACAAAGCTTGGAGTAGTAGAGCTTAGAATAATAAAGCTTAGGAATATTAGAGCTTAGAATAATATAGCTTAGGAATACTAGAGCTTAGAATAATATACCTTAAGAATTTTAGAGCTTGAAAATATTAAAGCTTAAAATAAGGAAGCTTGGAAAAATCAAACTTTAAAATAGCAAAGTTTAGGAATACTAAAGTTTTGAATGCTAAGCTTCGTTCTCTTTATTTCGAAAATTTCGAACCGCACCAAGAATCATTAGTTGCCAAAGAAGTTAAAACAAGCAACGAGTTAAACTTGTTAGACGACGGATTTAGCGTAGAAAGATGAAATTTTCGAGTGTCTCGAGTGCGCATTCCCGATTCGTTCGAGTTGTCGAGCGGTTGACACGCGATCGTCACGGACGTTGCTTTCTCTCAGAGGATCGACGACAGTTGCCAGTCATTCGAGGATTTTCTTGGCTCTGCAACTGCATTTTCTCGACTCCTCGGCTACGTTATAGTACCCAGCAGCAACTATCTTGTCCACCTACTTACTTGCGCGTAATTAGTACGCGTGACCGGCCGAGATTGGTCACAAACGTGGCTTTGTTCGAGGCTCGAGCGATCTGAACGGGATATCAAAAACGCACGTACATCTCGAATTAAACCGCCTCGTTACCATCGAAGAATAGCAGGTGTTGTAAATGTTTACACGTGAAAAAGTACATCGGGAGTAGGTTAGTTTGCTTTCGTTCAAGGTGAATCGATTGCAGGTGCAGCTTTGTGGGATGAAATCGTCTCGTTCTTTCGCAATAGTTTCCTTGAAATAAAAATTTTATTAGTATAAGGTTTAATAAGAATCTTATCGAATCTAAGATAGTTACGTCGTACACGTTTGACAAAGATAAATTTTATATAAAATCCAAAAGAATCCTTATCATAATCCCATTAATTTATCGAGTGCATCACAAAGATACTTATTCCGCAAGCAATTAAACATCACGTTCCAGATAATACATTTCAAAACATTTCCTTTCAAAATCCAAACCATGGTCAAAAGCCTGACTCGAACAGGTGCTCGATAAATCGAACTCTCTCTCAACAAAGCGTTCGCGAAATTTGTCTGGTCAGAAAGCAAACGTTCGAAGCACAAAGGATTAATGAATCAACAAACACAGAGAGCCATTGTATACCATTTGTTTCGTAGGGGAACTTTCATTTCGCTCAGATAAATAAATTCGCGATACATTTCTTCGAACGTTCATTCGTGGCGAAATATAGAACGCAGCTGATAGTTAGCGAAGGTTATTTAACCACTTGCGCTGGAAAAATACACCAAGACTTTTGTGATTGATGAATACCAGTTGGATATTACTCGAATAAAATGAAATTATTTGAATTATTCCGGTCGATAGGGAGACGTAACAGCTGATCGCGGTCGGGTAGTAGTGGCGCGCGAAGGGGAGCATATCCGCGGGAATCAAAGCGGCCTCTGATAGGTCGCGTCGATACGCTTTGTTATTACGAGCGGAGTCAGTCGACGCGACGTATACACGAGCAGTCGAGTCTAATGCCGCTGCCGGGCGAAATCGTAGCTTCGGCTCCCTCGATACTCCACGTCGGGCTTCCTCCGCAGCAGCATCGTATTCCCCCTGTTGCAAGCGTGCACCGTTCCATACCGTCGCGATCTCGACATTCCGTTCGTTGCTCGATCACGCTCCCTAAATAAGAGCCTGTGACCACTTCGAAATTCCACCGCGGTCAAATCCTGTTCGAACTTCTTCGATCCTCTTCGAGGTTCGCGGTGACGTTTTGTCGGAAACGGGGTCGCGTTACTCTCTGGTGTCACGGTCGACGGGAGATCGTGCCGAGATGAAAGTGTGAACGAGATTCAGTGGATACATTTCCCTTGTGTTTTTCTGTGAAACATTTCGACGATGATTTATCACAAGCCGACTGTACCACGGTTTCGTATCGCCGAGCGTGTCAGCGTGGCGCCTACCAATCGGCCGATTTACACGAAACAGAGCAGCCATGGTAGCACGTGTAGCTTGAGGAGCGCCGGTTCCACGCCTCCGTGTGTCAATCGGTACATTATTTTTTAAATAAATTCTCCCTTTAACCATTTCTTATTCATTTTATTCGCTAGAGATAGATGTAGATAAATTTTCATGTTATAGAAAAGTCGACAAAATATTTGATTCCTATATTTCTTTTTATTCAAACGTATTTTTCCTGGTTTCAAAATATACAAATTTGTATATTTGAATGGGTAACATTCCTGTGAACCATCTCATCGTAGCTCGTTCATTTCGAATGCGACCCTCATTATGAACAGCTTCCGCTTCCACTTCCCAGACACGCGTTAAACACATATCAATTCCCACGACGAGTGTCCACGAAAACGATAGATCCTCTGGTATATTGATTAGAAAAATAAATGTATTCATTTTATCGTTATTGGAAACAATTCATGTTTTATCGTGACACGATAAGTATACATGTATGTAACGGAACTCGACTATTACTTCCATAGGAACCGTTTAACATCAACATGGAAAATATTTATAAAACATGCAAGGTTTGATCACGCGACCGTTTGAAAAAAACGGGCCTTGTATGTTCTGTTACTTGTAAACATACGTAGAAATAACTCCGTTATGTTGAAATATTCTGTTCAAAATAATTGTTTATTTCCACCGAAAAATTGGTGTTTTTCAAGGCATAAACATTTTTGTTAATAAATAAAATAATTAAGAAATGGCTTCGATCGTCGGCAGAAAAGCTCATTACAAAATTGTTGAAAAAATGACCTGCTGTTTAAGCGATTTATTGGGAGGGTATCCGTAATTGGTCACAGTTTCACGATCACCTTGTTACGCAATAAATAATGGACGAAAACAAGCGTGTTCACGTGAAACGAGTTTAAAAGCTAACACCGGAGCGAACAACAAAGCGTGCATTCATTCACCGTGTGTAAAGGATGCGGGATACCTTGTTTCCATAAATCACGTCCTGCTTGAATAATGGTCCAGTGTTTTCGACGACCTTTCCTAACCCCATCGTCCCTTCTTCGATGATATTCTATAGGAAATCTTGATTGCCGGTGACCCTTTAAAAGCTTGCCAACACGGCAATGATGGCATCCTTCGCTGCCAAATGGCCACTTCAAACGAAGCGAAAATTTCCAGTGAATAATACGTGGATCGAACGTGTAATTTGTTTCATACACCGTTTACAATAATTTTTATAAAATTTCACCTGTAATACACTGACGATAGGTATCACGATCATAAATGAAATTGATCGGTCATTTTTCCCGGATGATTACAGTATAAAGCAACCTTTGGGAAGCAAAGGACCCTCACCTGTTCACACGAGCACCCCTGCTAGGTCTGGTATCCAGTCACCGAAACCTGTGATCAATGGATCTGAACCTATGGTGTAAGTATATTTCTTTGTAACGTAAACTCAGCTAAGAATACCTGACGAGTCTGCTACCAGCGAAAATCAAACTAACACCAGCCGAGCTACTAATATGAAGTTAAACAATGTTTGCAGAAGACAGAACTCGGCGTTGGGCAACGCGTTCGATGCCAGAGTGCAGGAGAGTCATTACGACGTCGTCAAGCCGATAAAGGTAAGTAAATAAAATCACCTACAATTACTTTTTTACCAGACTTTTTGCTTATTCAATATTTACGACGTTTGCACTGTCTATCATCGCGTTTCCCTTTCGTCAGTTATTTTTAACTATTTATATCTTTGAAATGAGAATGAGGCATCCTCGCGTTTCATTCATATTTATCCTCTTATCAAGAGTGTAACATTGCAAAACATTATGATAAGAAACGTTATACGTTTCAGAAGTGAATAGTAAATGTACCATGTTAGACGGAAGTTCGTAATTTCTAACTAATAGTTGATAATAGTCAACTACATAAAATAGTGAACTAGATGATCAAAGAATCGAATATCAACGTGCTGCTTTCTACTTGTCTTTCCTTATTACCGGAGTCGCCCGTGTAAACCCGTGACCCGTTTACGGTTACGCTCATAATGCACCGGTGAAACTGGCCGAACAACAATTTCCACGAATAGTTGCAAGTATTTCCATTAAACGGGGACCCGGTAATTCGAACGAGCGGCTAAAAATTTTATTACCCGATTATTTGCGATTTTCCGCTACCGGATATTCAACTGTTCCCTCAATTTATCATGCACCGTAAATGTCACCGATGATTTTTAACTCGGCGGCGTTCCGTCATGGCGAATTAATGATCGTTGGGATCGGTGAAAGTGTTTATTAAGGTGAAAACTTCGGAAAATTATGCTGCCAAGAAACGGTATGGGGCCGGAGAAACCCGGTTCGACTTTAATACCGGTGATCGTCGATTGGTTAATCGAGAAATTGCCAATTAAATGCGTTAATTAACGTAGTTAGCAGTTGCTCGCATAACTCCTCTTGTCTTCGATCAATTATATCGATTCCTTTTCCGGAAAGTTTCTGATGACGTAACTTACGCGAGTTTTAACTCTTTCGAAGAAACTCGGGCACGAAAACGTTGCATTTTCGTGATTACGGAAGTGTTTGAATGACGGTGACGTCAGGTGATTTTACAGCGGATTATTTTTACAATCTTATCGCTCGTTGTTTAGAAAATTTAACATTAATGAAACTTGGAATTTATGGATAACCTCGATGATAGTTTAAGCAGTGAAAACGTCCATGCGTAGTCAGACATTATAATTGCAATTATTGAGAATACGATCGTTCCATTTTTTTTTTTTTTTAATTTAAGCTTTCTCCTTGATACTTTTACGTGATATTAAATTTATTAAAAATGAAATTGGAGAAATTTCTTTTTATTTTATTATTGCACTGAAAGTGTTTCGTTCGCGCCGCGAATTATCCACGTTCGATCGTCCTAGTATCACATTACATACGGGATTAGTCATCTCGATTCTAGAATCGCGATGTCAATAAGATTCGATTACGCAAGCCGAGCATTTCATGGAACTGCGGCAAAGTGAGGCCAGGTGCGCGTCCAGGTGTCCATTCGGAAGAGCATACAGCGCGATTTCGATTCCATGCTACGTGATCGTCGTGATCGCCAACAGCTGTTGCCAACATTGTCTCTCTATGGTCGTATCGATAGGTCGTGGCCTGTTTTGTCCTGTTTCCAGTATCGCGGACGAGCCGAGTCGATCGATCCGTATTAGTTGCACTTGGCGCAGAATTCTTATGAAATCGGTAAATATGCTTCGAAGAGAATAAACAGTGAGGTGTGGAAATTTCTGACTACCACGTTACACGAAAATTGTATTTTTTTTTTTTTTGTCTCTATGCTTCAAAAACCACAAATCGCGTGTTTTGAGTTTCATCAATTTATCTTTGATCGCGTGTTGTCATCCTTCCGGTGCGGTTGGTCTTGCATAGCCGCAGACAAAGCTCTCTAAAATCGTATTAATCATTAATATCTACGTCGCAGAAACTATAAATCCATGCAAAAGCAAACTAAAACGTTTCGTCATTCTGAAAAAAACAAGCGTTTCTTCACGATCGATCTGTATCTAATCAAAGATCCAATAATCGAATGAAACTAAAAAATAGAATCCTGACATCAGTTTTTCTTCTTGTTTATTTTTTAATTGCAAGAGACGAACGTATTATTGGCTAACCGCGACAAGGTTTGCTCGCCTACACTTGAAATTCTAATGTTCATTCCCTCGCATCTTTGGATTATGTTACACGGTGACGCAGTTCGCGATGCAAATCGAGATGGACGGTCGTACAATTAAAAGATGCGCAAACGAAAATGGCCGTTTCGCGTAGGAGAACGCGATTTTCCGAGATTTTTGCCGAGCTGCAAATTCGTCGATGACTCGTATGACAAATTCAAATTTCAATACCGATGACGTTAACCAGCCGAAGAATTAACAACTCCAATTGAATATATCCATCCTGCGTGACGTTTGTCTTTGGTGAACCACAAGAAATTGCCTTTTCGGTTGAATTTTCTTTAACAGAGCGTGACTTGGTTATTTTCAAGGGAAAACTTGTGGATTCCATTACAAATCGTCGGATTATTGTCACGGTTCGTTCTCGTTGGAAACAAGACACCTGCAAACGTGTCACTTTTCCGAAAGGGTACACCTTTTCCAAGCTGAATTAACAGCACGATACACCTTCGTCCGTCAAGGTAAACTGGAATCGACGACCATGTGGGTGTCAAGAAGCCTAGTAACTCAGTAGTGACACGTGCTCGTTATTATAACAGAGTTTACTCTGCAATTACGCTGGCAATAATTCATTTTCTAATCAACGGAGTTTCGCGTTGATATCATAATATTTGACGATACTCGGATTTGCATGAATTTATTAAAGCCAACGAAATTCTAAAGTAATGGAAATGTTTCCTAAACATTTTGCAATCTTTAATTATTCTCAAAAATATTAAAATAATTCCCAGGGAAATATTCGTGGCGGAATTAATCAAAGTGATAGTTTTTATATTTCTAATTTTGTCTAATATTAATTTAAGGCAAAGTTTAGTATATCTTTTTGACATATTATTGAAATGAAAATTTAAGAAAAATTTTCTATTTTCTTTTGATATTGAACAGTCTATCGCGTGTATATAGAACGCGAAAGAGAGTTGCAGCTCCATCTCGTTGCGCGTATGTAAGTCTATGTCAGCAAATACTCTATTACCCGCTTATGATTCAGGTATTAATTAATTTCATCAACACCTGAAACTGGAAATGGAAGTTACCGACGAAGTGTGCAGGTTCCGCAAATAAAACCGCTGAGCACAAACTTATGTTTGTACATTCCTAATTGTACTTTTTCGCGGAACTGCTTCTGGAAAATTTTATTTTACACTCGTTTTAACATTCAAATTGCCACGCGTTTTAAAACACAATAACAGAACGTTACGTTTGCCACAATCGACCATGACTCACCGACGTTTTTCGTTCCCAGTAATGATCAACAAACATCCTTTTTTTTCCTCCGGTTTGTCTGTTAAAGGCAGAGGCTTAGCCAGAATACCAAACGCGAAGCGCAAAAATATACCAGTGATTTCATCGTTGTACCAAGAATACAGATCAACTTTTACAGATCAAAATTGGAGCTCAGAATTTTCGAGAATCGTCAGTACAATTACCAGTAGATATTTTAAGGCAAAGTTCAAGAATTTGATAATAACATTGTATTTATTAATAGAAGAAAAAAGACACATTACGTTATGGATAAGCAAGTTATCGATCACTCGTGATCTCGAAGATACGGAAGAAAATCCGCAAATAATCAGTTTCATTTTCATTTTCTAAATTTTAGACTGTTTCTTTGGATATTATTTTCCAGTGTATGTTTTACAAATAATATAGCCCCAAGTTTGAAGAATGCAAAAATAGGCTAATCTAAAATCTACAAACTTGCTAATTCATAATTTTAATCTTGCAAAACAACAAAGAGTCAACGAGAGCACGTTGAACCGGTCTCGGCGCGCGAAACAATTAAATGTCCGATAGCCTCGATAAGAGTCTGTCGTAATCGAATGGAACGCGAAACGTAGAATGCCAGTGGTTCTATAAAGTATGCGAGAAAACGCATGCTTCGGATAGGCATGGAACGACGGGGACAATGGTGGAACACGGAAGATAGGACGTGAATCGAATAAAATCGAGATCTGTATTGGCGAGCGAAGCCAGCATTCGACCCGATTACGAGCTACCTCAGGGTCGTCTCGCTGTTCTCTCGCAGTTTTAACGCGACAAACCCATAAGCTTTGACCTAATATGGATACTTCGACTTTACGAATGCCACTGCTCTGGTGGGGATCCGTATGGAGAGCTCCTTTGAGGCCTTCGGGTCTCTCTCCTCACGGAGTCCCCAGTACCTCACCGGACGTGTGTTACGCTGCACACGCGTTTCCATCTAACAACCATCACATTTTACCATTTCACAAATTCGTGTATCTTCCCAACCGTAACAACCATCGTTAAGTGATCAGTGAATCGTCGCGTGAAATTTTGACAAGAAAGTAATGCTCTCTGAACTGTTGATTTAATCATAAGAAGAGATAAGAATTCGAAGGACGTTCGCGATTGTTTTCGTCAGCCAATCGACTACCTGTCTAGCTGGGCGAAATTCGTCAGAGTTCAAGAACGTGGCACGAGGCTGTTATCGCCAATACTCTTCGATCATCAGCACAGAACAGTCGGAATCTTCGACAAGAATGTGGTGCATCGGTGAAATTCAGTGTACCTGTAACAGTAACTAGTTGAAAGATTTCAAAGTCGAGGAAAGGAGGGATAATAGTAACTTGTTGTTAAATCGATAACAAGATTCGTCGACATGACATCCGCGCACCAGCAGGCGGCGATCCGTCGTCTGGAGGCTCTGTTCAGGGACGTGAAGCTGGAACAACAGCAGCATAATCCGGAGATAGTTAAAGTGGAGATTGACTCGAGCTGCTGCGATATTCACGGGAAACACGCGAAGGAGAATTGCTGGAATCGCAGGGGTTCCATTGGGAACGCGTATCAGACCAGAAGAGATTCCCTCGGTCGTCGGGATGCTTATCTGGGAACGTCCCCTAACCGAAGAGGATCTCTAGGTTTGCCGATGTCACC